GGGGGGGGGGGGGGGATGCCAGGCACAGGAGAGATTGCCTATAGTAATCTCTGGTGTTTTTTTCTTCCCTCCCCCTTCTCGTAGAGCAGAGAGATTCTAGGGAGATGATGTTCCAAAAGTGAGGCAGCGCCTTCCACCCAGGGACCCACCTCCTGGGCCAGCCAGCTGGGCTTCCTCACAGCTCAGTACCCCATTGAGGGAGTGATTGATGGCCATCCGACAGAGTGTCTCCCGGCCCTGCCAAAACTGGGCTCTGGCCGCTTGCCAAATCCCGACTTCTTGCAGTCCCCTCCTTTTGGTCAAACTTTTCCTTGCAGTGAACCAGCTGCGGACACTGGGACGTCATCCTTTTGCCAAGGCCAGGTAACTTTCCCATACAGCTCCCATCCCACCAAAATGGAAAATACCGGCCATGGTAACTATCCAGTGTGGGATAAGCATTTCAAAGGGTGGGGGAGTGGTTAGGAGCCAAACAAAAACCAAAGGTGAAACTGATTAGTCTTGTCAGTTTCAAGCCAGAAAGCAGAGTCATGGTCACTTGATTTCCCACTTAGCAACTGCTTTGCTTAGCAACAAAGTTGCTGCACCCAATTGTGGTTGTTAAACAAAGACTACCTGTATTCCTGCCATTTGCTAAAAATAAGCAAAAAGGAAAACTGGCAGTCTCCTTGATAAAGGTTTTATATTGGCTGTCTTGAGGGGCTCAGTTTTTGAATTATTTATTTACTTTATTATTTTTCTGTGGCTGACCAAGGTCACCCAGCTGGTTTTGTGTCTAAGGTTGGACTAGAATTCATAGTCTCCTGGTTTCTAGCCTTGTGCCTTAACCACTACACCAAACTGTTTCTCATTCAGTTTTTGAGTAGGAATAATAAAATATACAATTTGCAAATTAGGTTAAGCAAATTAGGTTAAGCAAATTATCATATAGTACATGATGTCACCCTCACTAAGGAGACCAAAACAGGAAACCAACTCCACAGGAAGACTTAGGACTACAGGTAATCCTCACTTAACAATGGTAATTGGGGCCAGAATTTCCATCGCTAAGCAATGTGGTCGTAAAGTGCTACATCACATGACTGTGCCGCTTAGCAACAGTAGTTTTGGCAGTCCCCAGTTACCGTCAAGTGACGATCTCATGTGATCATGACTCCCAACTTCCTGCTGGCTTCTCCATTGACTTTGCTTGTGGGAAGCCATCAGGAAATGCTGCAAATCGTGATTACTACCGTGGGATGCTGCGCCAGTACGAAATCCGGTCTGAGTGCCAAGTGCCTAGATCATAATCACATGACTGCAGGGGCACTGCAATGGCCGAAAGTTAGAGGACTGGTTATAAGTACCATTCATTCAGGGCCGTCACAAGTTCGAATGGTTGCTGAACAAGTGGTCGTTAAATGAGGGCCATCTGTACTTTTATTGAGAGTAGCTATAATAACAGAATTTTGCCAAACTGATTGTGTTGTACTTGTGCCCATTTTTGCATGTGCACATACACACACACTCATTCATTATAGTCAATCAGGGAAGTGTATGCCTCAGCCACTTCTGAATATCTTGTTTCTTGTGACTTAAAAAATATTTCAGCCCCTTTTGCCTAGGTAATATTCCTGTCAAGGGCATCTTCCTAACTCTCTACACATAATTATTGGCAAGATCCTTGTCAGCAAATAGATGCCATGCATGCAGTAGGTAATACCTAAAGATGAAGTAATTCTATTTTCTTAAAAGTTACATTAACAGAGTCTTGCAAGTCTGAAAGTACATTTCTACCCCCATCGCATTTACAGCCCAAGAAACCAGGGAGAGTCCCTTCTGAGACATTTGCCATGCCCAGATTCCTGCTGCGGGGTAAGGTGCCTCTTATCCGACTGTTGCCCTGGTTGCAGCTCTTCCCCATCTCCCAAGGTCATTCCCACATACCATTACATAATTTGATTGGGCCCATATACTTTGAAACATAACCACACATGTCTACTCACTTTATTCTCCAATAGCAGCTATTTGCTTTACACATTTCTGTTTTGGAGAGATGATACTTGTACTATTAAAAGAATATCACTAACACACATGGCATCACACTTTGGTTAAATTAGACCTTTTAATTTATTTTCATATTGACAGAGATATTACAAAACAGCTTCCAGTATTAGTTGGAATTCAGATTGGATGGTGCCAGTTTTCTGTATTACTTATCAAAATGTATATGATTCTGTTTCACTTGACACATGGTTTTTTTTTTACTCTAGAAGCAGCACAAACTGCAGCATCTACTTTAACAAGTGAGGAACAGTTGACCTCTGAACCTGAAATTCATAAAGACATGGAAATAAAAAGTATAGGAGACCAAACTGAAATGATTCCCAACATGAAAATGACTGCGTCATCTCCAGTAGTTGGTAACTTCCTTGAAGAGGAAATTACTTCAGCAAACATTGTTAATGAAAAAGTTCAAGAATCTGAAGAATAACAGTGCTTTTTAAAGGATGTCATCTAAATTACAATCTGTAGACTGGATTTCACAACACTTATGAGTGCTCAGTGACATACTGTATGTTCTAGAATATGTCAGGTTTTTTAGTCAAGTGTAATTGTCACAGAATCGTAGATTGTGATAAGAGCTTAACCAACTGGCTAAAATCAGAATAGCATAAACCCATCTGTTTTTGTGCCTATCTACCTATATACATTTGAAAAGGAGTTGAAATAGATTCATGCTGCAATATAAGAAAAGCTTTCTATTTAATTGAAGGTACTTAAATTTTGGTGTAATAAATTACCATAATCATATGGGATACAACATCTGAAATATAAATACATTGAGATTCCTAGTCTTCACCTAGTTTTTGAACATGGTTTGCTACTTGCCTGATTCTGTTAAACAATACTGCTAATCCATGTTGGTTTAATTAACTTCAATTATAAGCTTAAAGTTCTCAGTTATAGAGCTTTTTAAAAAAAAAATGATAGTATTTGCTAAAAAATGACAATAACTAGGCTATATTTAAATAAGTACATTAGTGATGCTTTAATAATATCAAATGAATCTTTGAACAGTATCACATAAAGATCTGGAGTAGAGAGGTCTATAACTTGAAGCCAGATTTACTTGGGGGGGGGGAGATAAGGATAATACAACTGAATTCCTCAAGGTTTCTTGAGCTACGGTTGACTTTTGTTATAGTGTATCTCAAATACTCAGATTCAACTTTTAGGAAAAAATAATAAAAGCATGGACTTTTTCAACAATGTGGTGTTGAAAGGTATTCAGAAATGTCAATGTCATGTCAATTTCTCTCTTTGCAAATGGAATGGAAGTACAAATTATGCAGGACAGCTTTTTATTTAGAAAGACTGGAACCAAATTTTAAATATAGTACAAGCTATCTAAAGTTTACCCGTTCACCGCAGTGTCTATGCTTTCAATGAGAGAGAATACAGGCTTTATGGTATAGGGAAGAACTACTCATTTACTCCCTGATAAATCTGTATATATGGATTTTTCACCTGTGCAATAGACTACAGGTAGTTCTCACTTAACAACCATTCATTCAGCGACCGTTCAAAGTTACAACAGCACTCAGCAAATGGTACTTCTACCCAGTTCTTGAAGTTATGGCTGTTGCAGCACCCTCTCAGTCACATGATCAAAATTTTGGCACTTGGCAGCCTGCCTTTATTTACGTCCGCAGCACGCACCTAAAACTCCCCCCACCTACCTGTCTCCCCCTGATCTCTGCTCTTTTGGCCACCCTGCACCCCACCGCCTCCAGCTGACCTTCATTATCTTCCACTATTGCCGAGACACCCCAGCCCAGCCCTTCACCAGGTAGCTGCTGGCCACCTGAGGCCTTTTTTCCAAAGCCTAGGGAAGGCCTCATGAAGCTTCAGGAAGGCTGCATGTGGCTTTGGGAAGGCCTTGGGAAGGGCCAGGCAGGGCACTCCTTGTCAGCTGCGGGACAAAGAAGACAACGAAGGTCAACTAGGGGTAGTGGAGTACAGGGTGGTGGGTATGCAAGGCAAAGTGCAGGTCAGCCAAAAGAGCAGAGATGGGGGGAGATAGATGGGTGGGGGAGTTGAAGTGAGCACAGCAGGGCAGGAGAAATGTGAGTCCTGGCCTAACAACTGCAACTGGGACTACTAAAACTGCTGTCACTAAATGGTGCAGTTGTGATGTTTCGCCTAATGACTCTTGCTGAATGACGGAGTTCAGTAATCCAAATTAGAGTCATTAAGTGAGGAATACCTGTGTACGGTTTCTGAAAATCCATATTCTACATCAAGTATAGTTGGTTTAATATGCAAGCAGGAAATATGGCTGAACTCCCTTGTGTGCAAAATAGTTTGTTACAACTGAAAAGCTAGCATGCTTGGCAGGAAGATTGTATTGTCATTTTTTTTTCTTTGACATACTATTTTATTTAAATATCTTACCTATTTCATTTCCCCATTTGAGCTGTAAGCTTGCTCTAGGCCTTTATGATGAGCTGCTCCATTATTAATCTTGTTTAAAAAAAACCAGCATATACTATAAAAATTACAACGGATATTAAAAAATCCACATGGTATTAATTTAGCATCAATATGGGATTCGTTCAGTCTTTGAACTTGTCACTAAATCTAGACCATATAGAAACATATTGCTCCATCTTTTCATTTTTGGAATATAAAAACATCTCAAAATAACAAACATACCTTGAATCCACTCCTTTATTTTGAGAGGTTTTTTTATTCCTGAGGCTTAATAAAACCAAAGCTCTTCATAAAATGACAAATTCGCTATCTTAGTGAATAAGATAACATTACATGTATACCTTTTAACTGTTACATTTATTTCCAAAACTATTAACATAAGCATTAAGTTGGACGAGATCAAATCATATGAATTAAAGAGCCCTCAAATTCCTCATAATGTCAACACACACACACACAAATGATACCAAATCTTTTAAAAATATTCTTTGAGGATTCCATAAACATGAAACTTATATTTTCTGATGTATTAGCTTCTTTCTTAAATCAATAAGTATGTTTTATGTTTCTTGGACCTGGATCTATTGATTTTCCAAGATTGGATATTCCAATTCTTCATTCCATGTTTCAGGTATATAATACTAATTTTCATTTAATTTCCACTTCATTTAATTTTTAAAATTCCATGTAAAATTGAATTGCTAGTTTTACTTCAAGCACAGTGTCTCTTAAGGATCGTAAGATTCCAGGTACTTCTGAAGCTGCTAAAGGATCTGGTCTATATGTTTTATTACTATATGAGAATTGATTTATTGTGAAGCAGAAGCTATGGGTCAGTCACAGAATACAGTCTCTCAAAAATCTTTAAAACAATCATTATAAATCAACTGATTTAAAGTATTGATCCTTTGTTTGGTCCAGGATTTCCACTAAGACATCTTCCCTGCTATCTTCAAATTTGGATTGTTTGAGTCAATTTCTTTGTGGTTCTGGGTCAAATTTTAATCCTTTATTAATAACAAAATACATCTAACAGCTTTCAAGGGTGGAAATGAAAATCCTTGTTACTATACCTTCACCCTAGAACTTGCTGAGATGTCAAAGGGGTCACACACTAATTGGGCTCAAACAGGGCAATATTCGGAAAAAATTCTCATTTCATAAGAATACATGTTGTAATGAAAGCCAAGTGATAAAGTTGAAAATTAAACCTCAGTTTTGCCAAAAATATTCAAGGGGTTTTGACTGCCATAAATGTGTTTCTCAGTAATATATCTGTATAGAATAATTACCTGGAACTGATATGGCATTCCTCTTAAAATATACATTGCTATTGAAGTAATGCTTTAAAAACATCCAGTTCCAAAGCAAAATTATTAATTAATCCAAACACTGAGCTGGTGAATACTGGGTTACCATTTCTATATATCACTCTACTGCAAAGGACCAGAAGCAGGTTTCAAAATATTTCTGTTGGGTGCTGCCATGTACAGGGTGAGTAATGCTGTTAATTTGTTTAAAATTTTACACTGTTGACAAAATTAGTAATGCAAAAAACTCTCCACACCACTCACTGATAACATGCAAGCCACAGGAAATTCTGGTTAATAGATGCATTCTCCCCACCCACTATACATTTTTTTAAGGATAATTCAACAAGACAACTTTAAGGGGTTTTTTTTGGGGGGGGGAGGATTAGAAAGCTCAGAACATTGTTGCATTTATCTTCATTATCTACATTAACTTGCAGCTATTTTCCAAAGTAGCAAGTAATACTTTTTCTCTCATTTCTACATGAAATACCAGAGATTGAATTTGGGAAGTTCTGTATTATGGATGTACACAAAGCAGAAAATATTTTTTATTGCGAACCCAAAACTAATACATGCTAAATTGTTCTGGACTCACTGTTCTTAGAGGATAAGTAGGACAGTCCCTTAAACAGTTCAGTATTTCAATTGTTTTCCATATTTTTTATTTTTAAATCCATGCAAAACATTGTCAGATTTGTCTCCAAAAGCTAATATTATAACAGGACAAATTTTACCTAAATCTTCCCTAGCTGAAGTAATATGACATAGACTTCTTGCTTGCTGCCCAACTGAGCTGCCTAAAAAATGTCTTTCTATCTTAGTAACTTAGAAGTCTTTAACTATCTATGATAGAGACTGAATCTAAGATCTCCAGAACAGAAAATTATAGTTCAGCCTTAAACTGATCTGTGAAATAAGATTTACTTAGGCTTGTTAGGTAAAGGTGGTCCTATAAACAAAGATACTAATACTTATTTAAGTACTATGATAAAGCCTTGTGGGATGAGATAACCAATCTCATACAGAACACTCTGCCTACAGCTTCACCATTAATATTTCTTAACACTAGAAAGAAGTAAGGACTGGGCCTTTCCAATAGTGATCTCATATCTTTGAAGATGTTTCACAGCAATATCATTATAATATGGTGGCATCATTTTGTGCTATTTTTTGGTGACAAAAATTGGTATTTAAATCTCCATCTACTCTAAAATATCCCCATCCTTTTCAAAGCTATTTCAATAATGTATCATCATTGCCCTATTCACTGCATTCCTGAATCACCCTTATTTTAAACAAGTGTTGTTCTACATTAAGTGTTAAAACAACTAAATAGCATCCCCCCCCCCCCATGCAGTATCTTGAATTGATACTTGGAACAATTAATAGGAATACAATGCGAAAGAAGCTCTTAAAAGAGAGAGAGCTTTCTGGGGGAAACAGGCTCTTATCTGAATCTGATGGTCAATTTCTCTGGCCTTTTCTCTGGATTGCTACCAAGGCGCTTTTCTTCACAGGTGGGCATTTTCCCCCAGTCGACAGTTGAAAATTCCATCATTCCACGCTTCATTGCCCTCACAAAGACAGCATCTTCTGGATTTGCAAATGGAATTCTTTAAAAGTAATCCCCCCCGAAAAGTTAGTAAATGACAATATTCCTATACAGCAATAAAACCAATGGTTAAATAGGTGTTTGCACTGGAATTTAAGCATATTACCTGAAAATAATTGTACAAATGGACTGCCTTTTCCAAAATGAGACTCCCTTTAAGCTCTTCTTCCTTTAGAATCTCAAAATGTGCTCCAAACTCACAACTGAAGTCTGCTCAAATCTCCAGATCTGCTCCAAACCCAAACCTAAATTCTGCTCTGCCCAAGGTCAATTTTTCAATCAGTGTATTTTGTTTGTTTTTGCCCTTGAGCCAGCCCGGCTTTGTGCCTAAGGCAGGACTAGGACTCAGGTTTCCCCACTTCTAGCCACTGCCTTAACTAGCTCTCAGTATATTTTGTACCATGTAATTATGCAAAACGTATGCAAGGTAAGCAGGACAGTAGAGAGATATACAACTCAAATAGCACAGTCAATATATTCAAGCCACCTGTATCTTCCATTGAAATTTCCTTTTGCAAACCACTCACAATTCAAGGATGGGTGAATCTAGCTGTGCCCACAAATAAGTACTATTGTTATGCACAAGTTCAGGAAGCAAATAGGGTTCAAATTAAATATTATTTTGGCTTGAATATAGACAGAAGTTTTCTCTGCTATAAGTATTAAACCAAGGATTGTGCTTCTGGGAGCCAAGTTAACTGACTATACCACTATGGCAATCATTGCCAGTTGCTGCTATTACAATTATTTATAGACAGACATTGTCACTTGCAATATGTATCTATGAATACATATAGATGTGTATATATTTTGAAATTTAAACTTCTAATACAGGATAACTCTTCATGTAGTTTATAAAATGGGTATTAATGTTTATACAAGCACAATTATCTGTTTAAGGAGCTATCACTTGACTTTTACTTATATAGGACATCTTGTATTTAAAATATAATTTTAAAATATGGAGAAACTGTTCGAGCTACTTACTTAACTAAGTGATTTCCAAACTCGCAACCTAAAATAATGATTAAAAACACTGAATTTTATATATTCCTTTAGTCAATTGACATATACTGCTAAACAACTAGTCAGTTTAAATGACATTCATTTTAAAAAGCAAATGTAGAAAATTATCAATTAGGTCTAAAATGTTTATTGAATAAAATTTATTGAATTTTAATTTTGAATGGACATAGCCTTTATAATTATTTACAATTTGTGATTTACATAAAAAGGATTTTTCTTTTTTTCTCTTCAGATTAACGTCTATGCCACATGCGTTTTCAAACATATTAATGAATTATAGATTTCTGAAAGTCTAAAACACCATATAATCTGGGGAACTTATATAGGCCCAAAGCCTTCATCACTTAACCATTATCCCCCTCAACAAACATTTTCCTTAGAGTCTAGAAGCAAGGCAATAATTCTTAAGAACTGCTTCATATTCATATTCATTCAGTGTATACATACAATAAATAAACAAGTAATTTTTTTTAATTTATCAAAGTTCAAAATCTCAAATAGCTTAATTTTTGAAGAACCAGAAAAGCTAAAAATAGATTGACTTCAACGTGGCTTTGTTTTTACAAAGTACCTTTACTGATATGTACAGCACAATTAAAAATAAAGATCTCTTGAAGTTGAGAGGTAAAAGAAAGGAAATTATAGACATTTAGATAATGTTGAAAGTTATTAAGCATATGAGGAAAAGAGTGTTGATTGGTAATCTATGATATGCTGGTAAATTATTGTTAACATACCTGGAGGCAAGTGCAACACTTTTGTGGGAGTCAGATTATATGGTGCCTTTGGCAACAGAGGTATATCTACTTTCTTCCCAAATCCTATGGACTGGAGAACAAGAGTCTTCTCATGATTGTAGATATGCAGAGCTGATTCTCTTTCTTTTCTAGTTATTTCTGGGAAATATGAATTAAAGTTTTGCAGGAGCCTTAAAATATTTAACTATTTTTCATTCTCAAACTTTCTTAGACTTTTTATTTATTTTTAAGACATTTATTGATCACCTTTCACAAAATCTCCCAGAGACTCCTTTATTTCCCTTCCAGAGATTATTCCTTTAGAATATTCACTGGAAGCTTCAGTGCCAAGTGACCTTTCAGAGGCAGTCTGAAACCTTGCTTCCACAGAATATTTTTTTTTAATGGGTTGGTTGACCCATAAAAACTGAGAAGTTCTGAAATGTATGGTGCAGATAAAGTAGATAAGAAGTATTTATTTCCCTCCTCTCAAAATACTAGAAACAGAGGTCAACCAATAGAATTGTATCTTGGAAGAATCAGGACAGACAAAAGGAATTTATTTTTACACACTTAAACTTCAGAATTCGCTCCTAGAGATGTGGTGATGGCTACCAGCTTGATTGGCTGCAAAAAAGGGTTAGACCAATTCACAGAAGTAATGGGGATCAACGGTTATTAGCCTTGATGGCAGTGTGACTACAGGCAGTCCTCAACCTACAACCATTCCTTCAGCAACCATTCGAAGTTACAATGTTGCTCAACAAATGGTGATTACGGCCATTTGTAACCTCTCCTGCCAGCTTCCCCAAAAAGTCAATGGGGAAGTCAGCAGGGAAGGTCACAAGCCCCCCCACCTGCGCACCCTCCCCCAGCCCTTCTGGGCTCATGCTGAGCAGGCCACTCGCATACCGCCGCACACTCTCTCTGACTTGTGCCTCACCTTTGCGCATCCTCCCCAGCCTGTGTGCTCCCCAACCCACGCCACACTTCTCGTGGACCCCCTTGCACCCTCCTAGACTCATGCCTCTCGTACATCCCCTCGCACCTTCCCCGACCTGTGCCCTCGCGCAGCCTCCCCAACCCACATCGTGCCTCTCATGCATCCCCTTGCACTCTCCCTGCCCATGCTGTGCCTCTTGCGCAACCCCTTGTACCCATCCCAACCCACACCACACCCCTGCACACCTTCCCTGACCCTCGCCACACCTCTCACACACACACCCTTGCACCCTCTCCAACCCATGCCACACCCCCGCACCCCCTCCCTGGTCCTCGCCATGCCTCTCGCATCCCTCCCCAATCCACACTACACCCCTGCACCCCCTCCCTGACCCTTGCCACATCTCTTGCACACCCCTCACACACCCTCCCCAGCCCATACCACACCCTCGCTGCGCCTCTCACGCACCCCCTCACAGCCTCCCTGAACCTCTTGCATACTCCCTCCCTCCATCTCCCACCTGGCAGCAGCCACTTACCTGCCTGCTGGCCTGGGATTTTAGTTGTGGGAAGCCAGCAGGAAGTTTCTTTGCCTAATGCTTAGCAACAAAAATTCCAGTTCCAATTGCCATCATAAGTCGAGGACTACCTGTACTCCCTTCTGCAGTTGGCTGAGCACTGTGAGAACAGACTGCTGGACTAGATGGTCCAGAGGTCCGATGCAACAGGGCACTGATTATGTTTTTATTTATTTATTTAACAAACTTATATAAACGCCCCTCTGTTAGAAGGAACTCTGGGCGGCAAACAAAATAAAAACACAATATACTAAAAAGACCATTTAAAATAATAAACAATGTTGAGGCCCCAAGAAAACTCACACTAATCCATCAGCCATCCCATGCCAGTTCCATCAACAAAACACGCAGCTATAACATCCCTGCATATTAAATCTTAGAAAATTACTTTAACCACAAAAATAATACTTTTTATATTTGCACAAAACATGTCTCTTGAGAAAAGAAAAAACAACTTCTACCTTTTCTGTCGAACAAAGTTACTGAGGGAATGTGATATATTACATACAGACGGTATCTGCTCTCTTGTGACAGAGGATTATTAAACAGGTCTGCAGAATTGAAACAGAGAAGAAAATTATTGAGCAAAAACTTGGCAACTGATGCTCATTTCAACTGTGCAAACATAGTATGCCACTTTGTATTCAGAAAGTACATCTTTCCTGAACATTGTGACCCACTGTGAAATGCATGGGGAGAGGGGGAAGGCCCAGCCTTTGTGGTATATTTTGTGTGATTATCTTTTAAAGTTCTTGTTTATACCTTATGATTAACTGGGAAAACTTACTACTTTAAGCAAGGAAGTAATCCTCAGGTTGCACTTTATACATTTCTTTTGCCCCTTGCAAACACATACTTGCATATCTAGCAGACATAAACTATAGCTGCAACAGAACTGACTCTTTCCTAGGTGATTTATTATCTTGGATGCCAGTCCAAGATCAAGAAACAGACTTAGCAGAACTATTGAGGTAGGCTATAATAGCAGAATCTTGAAATCCTGGTTGTGCTTCACCTCCCCTCCCTCTTATATCCCAGTGAATCAGATAGGAGCCTGCATGCAGGTCTTCTGAATACTACCTTGTTTCCCAAGATTTAAGGAATGTTTCAGTTCTCTTCAGTTCTTGCCTATTTCCCTCAAGGTCATCTCCCTAACTCTCTACAGTAAGCTACAAATTACATTACTTTGGGAAAGCATTTTGGATTAGTCCATCTGAATAATAGGAATACTTCTATATTAGATAATGAAGTGTGGGATTTTTTCAAGAAATCCTGAAAAACTTTTGTTTTAGAAATGTCTTTCGCCTTCACAAAAAGAAAATCCTAACTAATTGCACTTAAAGAGCCACTAGATGGCAGCAGTGGAAAGAATACCTACTACACTACTATAATTTACTTAGAAATGATGCCAATATTAACCAAAACATTTTTGTTATTAGTTTTAATATGGATTTTCATTTCAATTATTTGCAGAGAATGGTATGGTTGTATATAATCTTTGGTGCCTTTCAATGGAAAGAAAAGTAATAAATACTATAAACAAATATATCTAGATTTAATGTAACAACCAGCTTTGCTGAACTAATCGATACTTTTTTGCAAAACAAAAATAGTTCCTTTTCTATAATTATTGGAGAAATTACATTTGTTTAATGGACTATCAATTTGAGGGAACTATAAATAGTGACTTCAATATTGTGTAGTATCTTTTTTTTTTTTTTTTTTAACAGATGGCAGAATGCTCTTTTATTTATTTGTGTCTTCAAGTCAGTCTTGACTCCTGGTAACTGCCTGAAGAAGTCCATACAGTTTTCTTGGCAAGATTTTCAGAAGTAGGTTGTCACTGCCACCTTCTTAGGGCTGAGAGAGAGCTACTGGCCCAGAGTCGCTCATTTGGTGTCCTGTCTACAGTAGCAGTAGAACTGTCTCCTGGTCTCTAGCCTGGTACCTTTTACCAGTACATCGAACTGGGTCTCAATGATCTACTTAAATTATCTTAAATACACATTCTTGTTTAAGAAAAAAGTTTGCTCTTCTAAACCAATCTCAATATAGCCCAGAGTTATTTGAAAAATCCCCATTCCACCATAAACTTTCTCCCCTTTCTATATTACAGTTTTTCCAGTCCAGTGCTTCCAAAATATGATGGGCTATGTCTTCCATGGTAACTGGGAATTTAAATTTTGAAATAATCCTTTCTTAAAATGGTCTATAAAGAAGCATCTTAAAATAATCTGACAGTCATATGACTCATCTTCTTTTCAATTTCAGGCTGACTCCGCTTCAGATTTCTTCCTATGAAATGTTCAGTATGCTAGCAATGAGTTGGATGTTATTAAACACCTCCAATAATTACTTTACCAAGGCATAAGTTCCTACTACTTAGAATTCTGAAAGCCAAGCAGGATCTATGAGTGCATTCCTTTAGGGGGGGGGGGGGAAGAGAAAGATTGCCTACACTCTCACTTTCAAGGTTAACAGTTTATAATCCTACTTCCCTGCAGGCAATTTCATACAGCAGAATTTAGTGGCGCCAGTACTGTCTTGTTTATCTTAATATGAAGTTTCAGACTCAGGCATTTTCATCTGTCCCTTGCTCTGCCCAATAAGGTAAAAGAACACACACACACAAATTAAAAAGTACACAGGTGTGTTGAATTATAAAAATGGTTTCTCAACAAAGGAACCTCTTTTAAAAGCTGAATTATATGATCCCATCCCCTTCTATGGATGAATAGAAAAGCTGCTTCTATGAAATGAATGTATGTATCTTGGTAATGTTGTTCTATATAAGATACACACACATACACACACACACACACACAATTATTATTACTTAAGGTGTGTAAGGTTTGCAGTCCTTGTAGTTCTTTCACAGTCATATCCAAGTTTTTTAACTGATTGTTGTGAAGCAGCAAGATCTGCAATGAGTGTAGATTTTTCAGAGCACCTGAAAATGATAACAGTAATCAAAAGATAAGGCACTAGGGAAACAACATATGCTTTAATACCTATTGCAGGAAGGGCAATAAATCAGCTAAGACTTTCACGCTCTCTTTTATAAGATTCTTGAAGGCATCTGGCTGGATGGGAAAAAGCTGGATGGGCCCATAGCCTAGATCAAAGGTCCCCAAACTCTTCAGCTCATTGACCCCTTCATGAAGTATCAGATTGTTCATTCCCCCCCCCCAAACATTTAATTATATGAAAATAATTTAATAACTACTACTTTAATAGTACTACAAATAATAACAATAATAATAGAGACAATTCAAGGCCACTTTCACTGGCAGCTGACCATCCAACCCTGGGTAACACTTTCGCCGCTAGCTACCTCACCTTCAGGATGAGGGACTGGCATGGAGCTCTACAGAGACCCCAAAAGATTAATTGATCCAATCAACCTTCCATCATTTATTGACTACCTATTGACCTCCAGCCATTTACTGACCCCCTTTTGACCCTAGCGATTTATTGACCCTTGTGTGATGGAGGACTTGGATGAGGAGGTTCAAGGTCATGGGGAGAAGAATCTCAAGCATCTCCTCAGCCCAC